ATTTAGAGAATGGATATTGTTCATTGTCACATTTTCTTGTGCTTTTTCTCAAACTCGATTTTGCTAAAGAACTTTGAAGTAATTGAAAACTTTACACTAGGAATCACTCGATTCACTGTTAGGAACTTGTCGCGAGTTTTTTTCGCGAAATTATCGCGAAATACATTTGCGTGCAAGGTATTCTTGAAATTGTTTAGAAAAGATACAAAGGCCGACAGGAGTCTATGATAAAATTTATGATAGCACAATCCAAAGAGAGCGCGGTAGAGATTTATTCGATGAGACATCATTCGAGAGACCGGTTGCGTTAGTAGTAGTTAGTTTTATGCAAAAATACCTATATACCTAACTGCATCAGCTCTTACTTTTTAGCCCGACAAAATGACTCGTCAATTTATATTCCCGTCCCACGAAAAGTGTACGGATTCCTGGTCCGTGGACAGTCATGGATCCGTCTACCCATTCGATGCGTGAGAGGTTTCGACTGTCAAACTTTCTCCCGCCAAACTTTTAGCCATTTTAAAGCACGAAGGGTGCGTTTTCGGGCGGCGCGGCGGGATGGGCACGTCCGTAATCGTAAAGTTGACGTGATTAATAATAATTACTCCCCGGGGGGGTAGATCGGGTAGACGGCGCGGCGTGACGGGTAGATGGGTATACATGGTAGATGCGAGTCGGCGCGCGCGCGTCAGACGATCGTTGCGAAGGACGGGACAGCTGACGGGTGACAGTGACAGTGACGGTGAATAAAAGCGAGACGAGGGTAGAACGCGGCAAGAGAGAGAGAGAGAGAGAGAGAGAGAGAGAGAGAGAGAGGGGGTGGGGGGAGGGTAATCGAATTATTCGAGTACTCGAAAATGGAGAGCCGCTCGGCAAGGTTAATCGCGGCGTCCGTCGTGGCGTACTCTCATAAAACGTTAACGAAAATAAACCTTCACGTTCCCGGATGGCATCACGCGCGAATCTCGTCGAATTTTCATGCAAAATTGAGGAAAGTCACAACTGCGCGTAGACCTTCCCGTTTCTCTTCGCACGTCGCATATAATCAGAGATGCTGGCGACATTCCGAAGGATTTCATTGCTACAACCTGAGTAAATATTGTTCCGTTTCCATTACTTTTTTGCATCTGCGTATTTCAGTCAATAGAATTTATCTAATATATTTAATATATTTCATCAACTGCAAACGGTAATGAATGTAATGCTAGCAATATATATATATAT